TCTAGAATGAGTTGAACAAACACTATCGCAATTGATAGAGCAAGAAATGATCCATGAAGCAAGACGTTGTTGATTTATTTTATTTTGACGTATTTTGCCATTGACATAATGCCCTCTTTGTGGTAGACTACAAGGTAATAAATGACGAGTAGGAAGAAGAAGACTTTTGCGTCCCAACAATATCATTTGAAAACAAAAGAAAGTAATGCGATCATTTATGGTAATCATTGGTCTTCTTATCATATTTATTCAATGTGAGATAAGTCATAGTCAATTACCTCAAGGATTTGTCTATCTCAATACAATTGTACCCGATATACAAGTGAGTTTACGTTATGCAACTATCGAAAACTTTATGGGCACACATGCTGATGGATATTTGAAAAATGTTTCAATAATGACAGAATCATTAGAGCCTACGCTGTCGATTCTTGTTTCCATGGCTACAGTAGTGAGGTTGGAATAAAAAAATTGTTTTTAGTTTTAAACTGAATAGATTTGCAAGATCTAACTTTAAGCATGTGTATAGTTTTGATCATACACGATTAATTTTCTGATCATTGTCTTGGTTTTCTATAGTGAGTTGTACATAAAAACTAAGTATACAACAGTTTCGGAAGGCAAAAGCAGCGATAAGTATCAAAAAAATCTTCTTGTTTTTAAAGATTTCATGAAATTCAAAAATATGTTGAACTTTTTCAAAATGATTTTTTAAGGCGAAATATTTAGTTTTATTAAACGCCGAACTGACATTTTCAACGATAATTTGATGCGTTCTGTCGGATAATGGCAACAGTAACCAAGAAAAGTTTTGCTCGAGATTGACGTCACCTTATATTCATATCAATTTTTAGTTAGATGTAAAGAGTGAAAAATTTTGTGTCATTCGTGCGATAAACATATAAGAATACGTTTCAGCGTAGGCAGAGCTTTCGGGGATATGCCTAAGTTCATTTGAAAGTATATCGTCGTACCGTCCTATCTCATTGCCATCATAACCGGATATATATTCAATTCAGGATACGAAAACGTATTTCCATCAGGATATCTGTCCCGTTCAAATTACAATACTGTTCAGCAACAGACATTTGTATTCATAGGGTGCGTTTGGATCATCAGTTATTGTTCCCGAACTTACTTTCGATTATCGGAATTCCATGGTCGTTTGTTCAACAAATCATATTCTATTTTTTTACATATAAAGTTTAAACAAATTTACAATTGAATAGGAACGGATAGTTCATAAAGAATGTCATTCTCACTATTTTCCCTTTATCTCCTTTTCTTTCAGTGTCCTAGAGATTTTTTTTCAAAAGATACACCGTGACATTCTCTGTAAGAACCAATCAAAACTTTTGTTCTGCGATGTGTATGTGAAAAAACATGTAAAAGATTTTGACTGTGCCAAAATAGCAAACTTCATAACTTTTTTTCCATACATATAAATTTTATTTCTCTCGGTTTTGCGTTCATTAAAATTTGTCACGGGTGATGTTTTTGGTACGTTTGAGTGTGCTCTTTCTTGCAGTGTAATTACATCACAGAGCTTTTTATCGGCTACGGAATGGCTAGTCTGACTTTGACTTTTCCAGAGAATTAACGAATACAGCCGTTTTTTGCATTACCACGTTTGTCATCGTATCGCCTTTCAGAGTCTTTTACGAGCTTCTTTACATACACATCGAAAAACAAAAGTTTTGATTGGTTGTTGCAGAGAACGTCACTATGTATCTTTTGAAAAAAAGTGGAGATAAAGCAAAAATAGTGAGTACGACCTTCTTTACGGATCACCTCTTGATGGAGTAGGTGCATTACTATGAAATTAACTTCTACATAAGCTACTCGGAGAAAGCATCAAACTATTAATTCACACATTCGAACGGGATAACATAATGCTCAAGCTGTTTTGTATATTCCGATCGCGATACACACTGTTGTTGTCGTAAAGAATAGACTTTTGAATCAAGACTTTTTTTGTAGAAGATTTTTCGTGTACCTTCTTCTGGTGTACTCACTTTTCTACAATATCCTCATGGTTTATGGTTTTTGCTATGACAATTTTTTCAGAAATGTTTTATGAAAATACTATGATTCGGATATAAATTATTCCCGAGATCTTGTCCGGGATACTCTCTTCTGACATCGGACTATCCAATAACTTAGTCTGCTTTTAACCGCTTTATTAACTTCAAGATGAAGTACAGTTTTACAGAAGAAATAAAAAAATGTTTTTAGTATGTTAGGGTAGATGAATGGATATCCATATGTAGTGACAAGAAAACATAATTTCTTTTCCAGACTAAACTAATGAGTCGTGAACAACAATCACCTGAAAGTCTATCTCGTTTTCATGAACAACAATCACCTGAAAGTCTATCTCGTTTTCAAACACAACAGACTTCACGTTTTCCATCATCTGGATTATCACGTTTTGGCAATGGACTAAACGTATCAGATACAAATACTGATGAACCAGCTAAACAAGATGAGGTTATACCTGTTGTTCAACCGATAACGTCGCGTTTTCTTGCAGGTATATTTTATTATTCTTGTAAGTGTATAACAAACAGCTCAGCTTCATTCTATCCATAGATTCGGAAACATTGGACACATTAAGAAAGAAAGCAATTGTCAAAGAATATATACCAAAAAGTGACCGTGATATCGAATTGCCTGCTTTGAGAAGTTTATTTATTGAATCATTTGATGATTTTTATAAAGAAATTGAACCACGATTACAGTTACGTTCAGACACAACATTGCGTAATTGGCTCAATGAAACATTTGATGAAATGCAAGAAGAAATGGTTAAAAAAAAAAGTCGAGTTTTTCTTTTAACAACAGGTACATCAGTATCCAATATTCTGGGTTTTATGCAAATTAAAGAAGAAAATGATACAAATACCGTTTATATATCGCAAGTGGCTGTTCATGCTAGTTTAAAACGAAAAGGATTTGGTGGACTACTTCTTCAACATTTGTTAATGGTATACCCAACTGGAAAAACGTATACCGGGCTTTGTCGACGAGCCAATGATCCAGCACTTCAGTTTTATATTAAAAATGGTGCTGTTATTATGCCCGATGATGTGGTTGCTCAAAAGTATGGATATGATCCAGTTAAATATCTTGGATTTCAATATGTCGATAAAACTGAAAGGTAATACATTTTATCGTAATACATAAAACTGTGTGCATACATGCTAGAATCAGTTATCATTTTGATGCTGAACAATAAGATCTTTGAAAACTATCTGGATCTTCCATAAACTTCGGTATTTTAGACCTTCGACATCAACAGCGACACCAGCAGCACCAAGTCACTTAGAAAACCCAGCTGATGCGTGAGAGTTTGAAATGACTTTTTATTCACAGTGCTGCATGTTTGTCCATTCTAACTCGTCTCACATATATGCTTACTACCACTGGTGAATGATCAAACATTTTCTATGTAAGTTGTGTTAGTATTTGCATCTTTTAACGTTAAAGAAAATGAACTGAAATTGAATGACGTATAAACATGATTTTTAGCTACATTGAGAGAAAGTTATCAATCCTTCTGAAATAGTTACTACTACCCATTTCAAAATATAGTGTGGGTGATTGCGACATGAGTAACTCGAGAACGGAATGAGCTATCGAGATCTAGCCAAGATCAGGACACGTAATAATATGTGGAATTCAAAGCTTTTACGTGGATCTCTTAAAAACCAGCATATAACTCCAGATTTTTACATAGAAATCTATCAGTTTTTTTTCATATATGGATAATCCAAGGTGTGCTCTGCAAAACCAGATCCAAGTGATCTCTCGAAAATCCATGGTTGGGAAGCTCCGAGCACTTTTCTTCAAGCCTTTGGACTCCTCTGCTGTTAGGTTTGGGACTGTCAGAAATGAATGTAAACATAGGTTATTGACTCTGCTGAATCTCGTGGCAACACTTATCTTCCAGAACAGGTTCAGAAATCCAGTCAAAACGTACATTAGGCGAAATATTCTATTGTTTTGCCTATTTTTGAGTAAAATTCAAAAATTCATAACTCAGGCAAGATCAATCTAAGTTATGTCAGAGTATCAATACATACTCTATCTCAAGTGCCCAATACTATGCAGTTAAACAGAAGCTTTATAGATTGACAAAAAATACTCTGGTTTTGAAAGGGTTTTCTAGAAACATTCCGAAGTACAAGAACGTTTTTTACTATTCTGAAGTAAAAAATCGTTTGGAGCACGTAAAATAGAGTGCATCTTGATATTCTGACATAACTTACGAGGGAGGTCCACCAAAGCATGGTCAATTACCTATCATCCACTAGGTTTCGTCTCTAAAGCGATTTTCAAGTCGGTGGACCTCCCTCATTAGATTGACCTTGCCTGAGTTATGAATTTTT